CCAGCCCTTTTTTCCCCTGAACACTGCTAATTTGATGAGGAAGACTGGGAGCTAAAATTACCATCCCCACCTCTGTGTTTCTCTTGGTCTTTGTCTCTGACAAAAATTGCATAAACATCTTGGCATAAAAGGAGGAAAAGATTGAGGGGGAAAGCAGATATAACCAGCACTTTGCTCTGATGGGGTGTAAGGAGTAGGAGGAGAATTAAATGTGGGGTTTTCAGTATGTAGTTAAGCTAGCATGTGCCCCATCTGTCAAGTAAGTTTGACTACTTTTGATGTAAATATAATACAACCAGAAGGTAGCACAAATCTGCTATAAAGCACCATGGATGTTTTTTCTCGTTTCCAGTCAATCTTGAAGTTGACCTTGAGTTAAGGAGCAGTCTGCTGAAATACGAGAGGTGGAAGCTTATAGCAGCATGATTTCTCATGTTCTGGGAAAGGTGACAGGCTTTTCCCAGTACAGGTTAGCCAAATTACGCAGACATGAATATGAGCTGAATGTTGCTATCAATGTTTTTCCATAGTTTTCTGTGTGATAATGAAAAAAGGTCAGAACTAATTCTGTCCTGCTATCTTTTGCTGTTGTGGTTTAGTGCAGTTTGTCAGTGGGTAGGCACAGGACCAGGTATATATGTTATTGCCAGGTAGTGCTGTCATTTTTTTTAAGCTGTTGTGCAACTGAACAGTGTTGTGGAGCAGTCCTGGGCTTGAGCATCTCCACAGTGTAATCTGCTTGTTTTGCAAGCTCAGAATAATCCCCCTCCCTTCTCTAGTGTACATATGCAGTAACTGGAGAATGATAGACTTGTGATTGCATCATCTCCTCTGTTTGCGTATGCTTTAGAGACTAGATCATGAAGAAACCAAATGTAGCAAATGAATATTCAGATCCCACAAGGTATCTGTGATGCACCTTTTTCACCGTCTGTTAAATGTCTGTGGACGTAGAAAGAGATCTGGTTCAAGCAGAACTAACTTCCTGCATCAGCAAGCTGTAGCGGCGAGGAAAAGGAGGAAAGGGTGCCCCGTACCCTTTATGACCATTATGAAAAAGATATATTCTGAAGGGCAACCTGTTTGGTTTCTCCACTCTCAAGAGCTCAAGTAAAAATTTTCAGTTTACTTGCAACTTGCTTTTATAACTACCCTTACCCTCAGTCTGGGTGTATGCGTCCAGAGCTCTTAAACTATCTTAGAATTGTGGGTAGTAAGAGTTTTATGATAAACTGACTCTGACATCATCATGTGAGTCATACTGGGGCATGATCGTAAAACGGTTGGTACGTGCTAATAGCTCAAGGAAATTCTGGGAGGGTGTTCTGCTTCTGTTCATTCTTGATTACAAAGCTTTCGGGGGCAATGGTACTTAGACAAATGGCAAAAGTTTGATTTGAAAATGCTTTTTTTTAGTTTGTGTATCGCCTTTGCTTTTTTTGTGATTTTTTTTTTTTTTTTATGTTGGCAACAACAGCTAATGCTGTTTGTATTATATTGCCACCTATATGAAAGGTTGTGCAACACTTTCCATTATAAGAATGTTTCAGTTGTTTATTATGTTGCCAACATTCAGCTGTTTGGGCTGAAATTTTCCATGCTGGGTGTCTCCTTCAGGCTGAATTTCTTGGGAAAGTTTCAATAAAAATACTTGGACCATTCCAGGGAATGAGAGGAGGGGGAAATAGTATATTTTGCTCAAGTTTATTGAAGTTACTGCAAGCACTTGATTCAGAAATCATTGCACCTATGTGTTTTGGAGCAGGGAGTTGAATTATTAGGAAGGTAAAAGGGCAAGGAAAGAAAAAATCAGGGTAAAGGGATTTCTTTCAAAGCAGTGGGCTCCTCCCTGACATTATGAACGATCTGCAAGAAAGCACACAAAACCCCATGCTTGTCAAAACAGGGTCAGTGAATGGCCAAGAGATGAATGATTCTCCTTGTTCCTCTGTGACTGTGATATATTGGATTTGGAGAGAGAGGCTTGTGAGGGGTAAACACAGTCCTATGCAGCAGGGAAGATGACTAAAATCTGCATAGTGACGGAACTAGAGGGGCCGGGCCGTGGAGTTAAGAAGAAGTTGCGAGTAGCAGACGTAGATTTGCTCAGCAAGGAGATGGATCTGAAGATGGTGACAGAGACTGTTGAGCAAGGAGCTGGGATTTAACCTAAGTGGTCTTACAGCAGCCTTTGTTAGTTACAATTCATTTTCTGGTTCCTGTACATCTTTTGCATTTAAATGAGGCAAGGAAAATTGTATGCAGTTGTGCAATTTAGAGACCAGTATTCAACCTTAATTCTGGCCTGTTTCATTTCTGAGCACTTGATGTTGCAACCATAATGTACTTTCAACATGAAAATTAAAGCCTTAGCTGGAAATGTCATTCTATACCCATCATTAAAATGCTTATATTGTAAGCTTTCAAGAACATCACCATAGTTCTGCACAGGTCTAATACTGCATTTCAGTTAACATATTGAAAAATGTTTTATTTTAATCCATTTAGACAAGTTTTCTTTTCAGAATCATAGCACTGCCAGTGGGACTGTTTGGATCTGAAGAGGTTAATGCCATACTTTAGATATCAAGAACTGAACTTCTTGACAGATTCTGCCTTCCATTTCTCTTAGGTTCACAGTGTGGAAAACAAATGACGTTTTGGAATATACCCAACATGCTTAGCCCAAATGGGAGCGAGTTAACAGGACAGGGAGAAGTTTCAGCAGTAACTTCATTTTTTCCTGATTTTTATGGACTTCAACCAGACTGGTTATACCTCAATATTATTTTAATATTGTTATTTGTGGCTGAGTTTATTAAATAGCACCGTTCCTGCTGCTGCTTTTAATATCTCACACTTGAGGTTATCTTCCAAATTTTCAAGGATTTATAATGTTGCCATAATATTTTCTTAAGGAATAAGGCTTCCCATCCAGAAGCAAGCATACATCATGGTACGAATTCCAAAAAACAGTGAATTAGACGTTTCCTAGTTAGAGGAAAGCAAATGTGTACTAAATGCACGTTGTATTAAGATCCTTTTACTTCTTTTTTCCTTGAACAAAATTTATACTTCTATTTGGGGACTGTTTTGTCAATAATATCTGCACCCTTGTTTAGAGGAGAGAAATTTAAAACTGAACTGTTACTATGGATATCTGCTTTTAAAATGGTAACTTCATAAAAATGTCATAGCTAGGTTTGACATGATATATTGTCTGTTCAAAAAAGATAAGCTGTCATGTCACATACCTGTTTATTAATGTCTGCACATTATGTGTTGATGTTACGTATCATGGCAGAGATCCGATTATTAATGCCTTCATGGTATGGATGGACAGGATACATCTTTATTGCTCTAATGGTACTTAAAATTTTATGCCACAGGGTTTTGAGGTTGTGTTAAAGTACACAAACCTCTTTTGGAAAAGAGCTGGTGTTTTGATGTCTAGGCCAAATTTTTCTTTTCTGTTTGGCACAAATGCCTAAAAGACCTTTTTTTGATTTCTCCCCTGCCTTTCCTTATGCACCCCTTACTGTTCCGCACGAGCTGTTTCTTCTCAGAGGTCTCCATAAGCACAGTCAGGTCTGGACTCACAGCCAGTAGAATCTACCCAACTCCCACCCAGACAGCCCATGTGTTGTCACAAAATCTTGGGTTTCTGTGGAGCCTAAATGAATATGGGGATTCATATTAATTTAGACTGTTGGTTGAGGCACAGAGAAGAAGGTGGACTGTCCTACAGCACCATGTTGCAGATGCTGTGGCAGATACTTTGTATTGCGGTGAGACCCAGTGTGACCTGATGGCCATTGCAATTGTGGGATTGTGATCTGCAGAATCAGCTTGTCCAGCCAGCCTGTGGCCTGATCCCTCATACGATATGAGGATATAAACTGTGAACCAGATGACTGCTGCGGCAGTATTTCTGCCTCTCTCTCCTCAGGGCCTGCTGCACTTTCTCAGGACCTAAAGGTGGATTTCCCAGTCCTCTGTTGGATTCTGGACATACGTGAGGGGTTGCTTCCATGTCTTCTCGTATGATAAGGAACATCGAGTCACATGACATGGGGGAACCCCAGTCCTTTCAAGTGAGGGCTAATCCAGGTGCCAGCAGTGATGCTTTGAATGTCAGCGTAATGTGGTATCAGGTGTTCAGGTGTGACTTTGTGTAGGCACTTGGAATAAAAGTGGTCTTTTTCACTTCAGTTGTTCTGAGAAATCAGAATAAAAGTGAAAAAAGCTATTTTTTATTCCAGGTGAGAGATCCCATGCAAAAAGTTGCACTGCTGGAATTACTGCACTGTGGGTGCACACCTTGCATCATGCTGTTGGAATTCCCTCTCGGCATCCCACAGAGATGATGCTGAGTTGCATTAGACCTTCAGCAGCATGTACCAAAGCTCTGCAGAGAGACCTCATTTGTTTTTCAAGAGTTGGGAACTCTGGTTTGAGAAACTCAAATTTAATTGGACATCTTGTATGTCAGGCAACATTGTCTAAAACCTTTAGAGAAAGGATGTGTTATCCTAAGTTGGAAATGATGTATCTACACAATCTGATTCATACTATCCCTTTAACCTTCAGATTCAATACATTTGCCCCTAACATTTTTCTCCATTATAGCTATTCACCTACTTTTTCACAGAAGAATTGAGTGTAGTTATTGTAAAGGATCCGGTATAGTTATTATAATATTGTGTTCAATGCTGATCTCTGGTTGGAGTTTAAAAAAAGTGTGTGTTTGCACGATGCAAATGTCTAATGTAAGTTCTGTCAAAATCAGAAGCAAATGGCCCAGATATTGAACACTGGAATAATGTTGTTGATGGAGAAGTTTGTATACTTGAAATCTGTGTATTGCAGAGGAACTTCTCATGGCTGAGTTTGAAGCTCCATTTGGTGACTGAGGGCGAAAAATACTTACGATCTTTACTTAAAGCTTGCTTGCGGACAGTGTTTCAAGCCTCTCATCCTCATGATTGTCCTTGTTCTAGATTTATGACTGATGCAGCTCGACGTGAGCAGGAGTCTTTGAAGAAAAAGATTCAGCCAAAACTCTCTTTGACTTTGTCAAGCACAGTGTCCCGTGGGAATGTGTCTACTCCACCTCGCCACAGCAGTGGAAGCCTTACTCCTCCAGTCACCCCTCCAATCACTCCCTCCTCTTCGTTTCGCAGTAGTACTCCTACAGGTAAGCACCTACTGTTTCGTTTATCCCAAATAAACTAGCAATTTTGCTACATGGCATTTGGAGAACGGTAGATGTACTGAGGCATTGGGAAAAACCCCTAAAAATACACAAAAGCTTTGAGGTGTTTTATTTGCATTTGGTTTGCAATCTCTAAAATGTGTTTGGGTGTTTGTTTCCAAACTCTTTTGGTAAAGCAGAGAAGGACATTAACTTTAAAAATCACAGCTGAAATTATTACACAAAGAAACTGACCTTACCAGAAACAACAAATGTGCAACAGACCCCTTACGTATCAGTAGGAGAGCTCTGCACATGGTACAGTCACAGTTTAAGATACAAGTAAAAGTGGTCGGGATCTTCCACATAATGTTCAGCTGCTGTCATAATGTAGGCATGACTTTCATTAGGAAACTGTGTTCAAAGAAAGTGATGTATGAAAGAAGTGATGTGCATTTTCTTCAAAAAGAAGTATGCCAGTGGTTTTCCCAGGTGTAAAATTCCTGGGAATTTTTTTGTACTGATTAGGGAAGCTGAACATTACTTGCTGTGCTGAACCAGATCTCTTGGCCCAAGTCAGTCTGGTTTACATTAGGTAGAGATCTTGTCAGATAATTCTGGTAACGATTCAGAATGAATACCAGTATTGCCTTCTAAAAAGCTGAATGTATATAATACACCCGTTCTGTTCTGGAATAAATAGGCTTGACATACTCTTCTTAAAAGGAAATCACATGAGCATCCCTGCTTTGATAAACTGCTATGCCATGTGTTTTATATAAGCTATTTAATGGTTTAGTATTAAAGATTAAATGGAAAAGTTATAGTGGTCCTTGCAACACTCTGGGAAGTTCTGAAGTGAATTGGTTGTTCAGTGTGTCCTTGGATATGAAAAAGGGAAGGAATTTGAGAACAGCTAAATGATAAATTCCTAATGTAATACTGAAAATTTTAGAATTAATTATTTTCTTAATTATCTCCTATTTGAAACAAACTGATACATTTCCTTGACATCCTACAGATGTAAAGGAATTTCTGCTTTCTTTTGTTTTATTTTTTGTACAGCTCCTCCTGGAAAGGCTAATTCATGGTGTGGTCAGGTAGTATGACTTTGCGTATCTGTTAGGAACACTGGTTAGCTATGTACTCTTTGAAACATGTTCCATCAAATACTAAAGAAAAAAATCCAATATCTGTCTCCTGAAATACTTATTTATATATTTTTCAAACTTTTCAAGTTACTCAGAATGTTGTTTTACCTGTAGCTAGGAGAATCAGCTTGTTTTGGCTGAGTTTCTGGGAGTCTTGCCTGCTAGGTTATAAATAATTCCAGCTTCCACTTTCTGCACCCTCTGTTCCAAGTTCCTCATTGGAGCCCCGTTCCAAGGTTAGGGTTTGTAGCAAAAAATCGTATATTCTTTCTGAAGATTTTTTTATTATTATCAGCTATCAGCTGAGTTGCATTTCAGCAGCCTCACTCCAGAATTTATGTTTTTATCATCTTAAAGGTTTTTCTGGATCCAAAATAAGCATTGAGATTTTTCTGATAACTACAGAATTTTTTCACAGTGTTTGCTTGGCACAGGATTTTGTTCTGCATTATAGGTGTAACTTTCATAGATGAGGTGCTCCGAATCCTGCCGCGGGTGAGTTTCTGTTGGTGCAGTGCCTGCAGAGGGAGCTCAGGAAGACCAGCAGACTAATTTCAGATAGGCAGCTCACATGTCTGTTACTGGCTGATGTAAATCTTTTTCCCTGAAGAGCAAGTATATATGGCAGTCAGCTAGCAAGGTGATAAAACCAAGGCTAGTTAGCCAAGATCTGTTTCAGGGAAACAATTTAGAGCATGTAAATCATCCTGCATTTCAGCCTCGCGGTGCCTACCCACCTTTCAAGCCCTACAGGCATACCCTCCACTGCATCCAGTGAGAATGAAGAATATTGCTGTGTATTCCTTCTGTGCGATCCTGTTTGATTTGTACTCCGAGCAAACTCTTGTTAACCCATCTTTGAATACAGGTAAACATGTATGTTGTGGTAACTTCAGAAAAAAAAGCAGCTGTTTTTCCTTAGGTTGTCCGAAAGGGCGTCATCTGGGTTGATGTTAAGTATTTGTTGCATCCAAATATAATCATTGTCCTCATCATCCTTTAGACCCATACTTTGCCAAAAATAAAATGGGATTTCTTTGACCCAGTTTATTAATGAAACATTCAGAATGGCAGTTTCTCTTTTATTATTTCCCATCTCACTTGTTTGATACTTTGTTAGGGTACCAGACTTCAGCAGTGTGCCTGGCATTACTGTTACTGCACAAGGTGTAACTCCAAGATGGTGCCACTTCAGATGCCAGAGAGAAAGCATGCCTTACAGGCTGGTGAGATGGCATACAAATATGCATGTCCCTCAGCAGAGACTGTCTGTCCTATATGGCTGTTTGCCATTCTTGTTTAAGGTAGAAAGCAGGAACCTCAGTAGGCTTTGAGTCCCATTTTCCATGCAATATCCTTCCTTTAGGTATGCTGCTTGTCTTGTCTTTGCTAGGTGTGATAAGTCTTATCTCGGGTGAAGCCAGCAGCTGCCTGAATCCCAGTCACCTCTCCGCATGTCCTTACAGCTAAGTCCCGCCATTTCCTGATGCTGTTAAGCTACTGTTGCCATTTTCCAGCAAACCGTAATTTCATATGATTATCGCTCATCCATGTATTGACCAGGCTGGAACCCACTTAGCTTGTGAAATTTGATAAGGAACAGTTCAAGGTGGTTTGGCTGCAGAGAATGTTTGTTAAGTTTTGCAGTAAAAATCCATGCCAAAAGACTGTGGGCCAAATTCACAGACAGAGCTGAGCAGCTTCCAAGCTGACACACATACATGCTGCAAATGTTGCATGTGTATGTATAGCACCTTCTTCTGCATAAACGAGATTATTCATGTAGAAGCAGAAATACTCAGCAAAGAAGTGTGCTCTTTAAGGCTCTTCTCAGGTAATGAGGTAGACATGTATTTATCTGCAGACTCTGTATGTGTTAGTCTTCTGAAACGGCCCATTTGTGGCTTTGGTGGGAACCAGAAATGCAGCAGTTATTTTCGGTACCTCCCCTCTGTTCCCTCAGGGTGACTGGCATGTGCTCTCTGCTTACATTTGGCTTTTTGTTCCCTCTCCTATAACGAGTTTTCTCTTCTGCTTAAGACCTGCATCCTCTAATGATTGCAGAAAGTTCACTTTAAAAATTTGTTCCAGTTTTGGTTTTAACAATAGTGTCTCCCAGGAGACTTTGTTTAGTAGGCTGAAATGCCCTTGTTAGAGTTCACAGGCAGGATTTAGCAGAAGAAATGGCTTCCATCAGCAATACAGACTCCTTAGGGTGATAGGGAAATATAGCTAAGTAGCACCAGCACATAGCTTATTTTGGAAAGATGTTAACAGTCTGCAAACATTGAAATATCTCTTTATTTAAGGAGCAGTCAATTAAGTCACAAAAACTTGTGTTGCCTTTATTTTTAAATGTCAATTTTAAACCCACAAAACTAATGAAGTCTAGTTACGGATAAAAACGGGGCTGACATTGCATCTTTAACATACGCTGTTAATTTTTTAAATGTTTTCATACATCTGTGTGGCTCACAGATGAAATTTCCACCCCTGACTTCCTGGCTTTTGAGTGTAAGTCAGAGCATTGACATTCCTTTGAAAACTATATCTCTTCATACTGAAAAGCTTTAAAAATGATTCAGTGATAGTAACATTGGTAATTCATTATTAAAATAACCTGGTCCCAATTTTAGTTTACAAAGTAATTCATATTAATAAGTCTCAGACTTCAAAAAAAGCGCGCCACTTTTGCATTGAAGGAGTGCCAAAAATCATCTGAAACCACTGTTTTGTGTGTGTTTGTTTTTTCTTCCGTATTTATGACAACTCCCCCCC